ATCATATCTATAGAGTTCAATTTTTTTATTTCTATCATAGCTTTCTTCAGTACGTTTTCTTCAACTTTTCTTTATTGAACTTCTATGAACATCTTTCAATGTTTTAAATGTTTTTAACACATTCCATGTTTAAAATTAATCTATAAAAATAAGCAAATAAAATTAAATAAAAATATTCTATTATTGATTGAATAATTTGAAGGTTATATTTATATGAAGTATTGTAACTCACATTTTACACATGAAAGACTACAACTAAAACAACATGAAAAAAGTAAAACAATACTTACATAAAAATAAATAAGTCTAGAACAAAATGACAATGACAATGCTGTTATTTATTTTATTTTATTACAGCCATTCAGTAGACAATAAACATCATTTACTACACAGGCGACTATTTTTTAGGACACTTTAATATTTCACTGTACCAATATATGACCGCGTGAATATAAAAAAAGGAAAACAAATTTTAATTTGAATCTTGCAAGATATTATTCCTAAGTTTTATTGTTAATATTGCTGATAATATTACTTTAATTTTTAATGTATAATTTTTTAAAGACCTAACCATTTGGTACATTGTACCAAAATACTAAATATTATTAATAATATTCGCTGAGGATGAAGCTGACATTTTTTTGCGAATGAAATAAGAACAATATTTACATAATATGAATTGAAGAATTGAATAAACAACATTTTTCATATGTAAACACTACAAGTTTTAGAAGAAAGAAAGAACACATTTTATTAAATATTATTGAGAATATTACAAATTATCGCACATGATCTTAATACATTAATCAATAAACAAAAGATTGTTTTCTATCATAACATTATATAAATGTGAACATCGTTCTGAATTACTGTTTTATGTAGTTGCCACCGTGCTGTTAACATCGATTTATTATATAATAATATTATTTTAATAAAACTTGGAATTGTGTTCGGATTAACATCCGTTTGCTAATTCTCTGTCGTAAATCAAATTCTGAACAATTCTAATATATCAATAACAGAATTAAATAATTCGTTTATGAATAAAGCGAATACTAAATGTCATTTAGCAAACATAATAATAATTATTTGCATATTCAACAACTGTGACATCTCAAATCAACGTCACGAAATAATGGTATTAATTTTAATTGGTGTCGCTACATTTCAGCGAAAACCACATTGCCGAATTTCATTTGTAAAGAATAATATCTTTTTTGATAAAGAACGCAAGTTGTATAAAAATATTGTAATAAACTTTAATAATAATACATTATGTCACTGGACATTCACATTAATATATTAAATTTCCAATTTATATTTTTTTATAAACGAAACATGTATTTTGAACACGTAAAAAACGAATATAGCTCATAAATAATATACACATGAATGTTGGAATAAAAATAAAACAATTACGAAAACTTGTTACTGTTTATATTAATTGCAATCATGTATCTATTTATTATAATTTAACCGTAAAAATTTTCAAGTGAATTACCGCTTTCAAATTTGACGTTATCTGTAAAAACAGTGAAAGAAGAAATAAAATATTTTCGGAATAAAATAATGGTAACTGATATTATATGAATGAATAAAAATTCATCAAAAGTTTATAGTTCCTTAATAATTCTGAAGATAATACAGTCCCTAGACATCCAATTAGGACCACGTACGAAAATTTCACTTTTATGACTATAACATTATGGCATATATGAAAAATTGTCTCAGGTCATGTAAAATTATTACTAAATACGTTGCTAACGATATAGTATATTAGGTTGGGGAATAAGTTCGTGGTGTTTTGACATTTTTTTTTTTACAGCGACATTTTGCAATTTGCAAGGGGTTATAATATTCATTCGATAGAGCTCTTTCTGCTCTACAAAACTGTGTTAATCGTTTTTTTCAATAGATTCATTCGTCATTACTATTGAGGCTCAGAAATGGAATATCTAAGAGGTAAAATTTAGCACTTTCGACACTTGCTCTTCTTCGCTTTTCATCGCGGTTAGAAAGTTGTGAAAAGTTGTAAAAAGTTGCTGAAACAGGCCGGGATATTTGCAATGTATACGGAGAAGGTATCATAGGTGAGTCGACAGCACGGAAATGGTTTGCAAATTTCAACCTAAGGTTGGGCAATAAGTTCGTAGCGTTCATTTCGTGAGGCACCCAGGCTCCCAATTTTTCAACAAATTCCATTGAATGGAGATGATTGAGAATAGTTTTGTGGTCACAGTTCATTTTTTCGACCAATTCACGACTAGTTTGAAGACCATCCTGCTTCACAAGTTCTCGGAGACGCTCTTCGTCGAACTCAGGTCTTCCGCTGCGGGGCGGGTTTTCGACGTTAAAATCGCCATTTTTGAATTTTGCAAACCATTTCCGTGCTGTCGACTCACCTATGACACCTTCTCCGTATACATTGTAAATATCCCGGGCTGCTTCAGCAGCTTTTGGGCCATGATGGAAAGCGAAGAAGTACAGGTGTCGAAAGTGCTAATTTTTACCTCCTGGATATTCTATTTTTGAGCCTCAATAGTAATAACGAATGAAACTACTGAAAAAAACGATTAATACAATTTTGTAGAGCAGAAGAGTTCTATCGAATGAATATTATAACCTCTTGCAAATTACAAAATGTCGCTGTAAAAAAAAGAAAATGTCAAAACGCCACGTACTTATTCCCCAACCTAATACATACATAGCAATTTGTTACTATCGTGATAATAAATTGTCTGAATAATGAGCGATTAAGGGCCGTGTAAGCATTTAGGTTAGAATCGAGTATTGATAGCGCGTGAGGTGAAATTTGAATGCCATAGAAAATGTCTGCCTACTAAAAAGACTAGTTTACAATTGCAGCTCTCCAACTACATTATCTGAGTTGAAAAGGATTACAGATATTTGGGAAAGCATATGGTCAATGTATACGTAGCATATTGAATAGAGGCTGTCACCAAAGCAAAAGGTGGAAACACAAGATATTAACATGTGTTAATAATCTTATGCACAATAGTAGTATATCATGTTAGTAGCTAATAAATGACATTGTTACAATTTGAACATACCTTTTAATTTTACAAAGAACGTGAAAAATGCTGAAAATTTATAGCAGTCTCGATTTGATCGCCATGGACTGTAGATAAAAACTGATTGATATTAAAACTTGTATGTACTACTTAAAATACCCCATTCTGTACACATTATTTTCCGCAATGTGAATTTTGCTTTAAAATGGCGTCGTTACTCTGACTTTATTATTTATTTGGGAGCTCTAATTAGAATTTGGGCTCTAAACTTTAGAGGGTCTTCAGTTGGTGCAATATGGCGCAATGAGATGAATGAGAGCATAAGAGCACCGTGTGTATGTTACAGTATTAATTAAACAATATAAAACAAAATCTCCTGCGTGTTCTATTTATTCCTAATAGATCTGAAACACGTGTTCAAAAATTATTGTATGTTTCAAACGAATTAAATAAGTTTGTAATCATTTCATTCAGATTTATGTTACATAACCTACATTTCAGGAAAAAAGTTCAGCGACTATAATCTATAACGTTATAGTTACAGAAATATTATATAACTTAAATCTATTTCTCAATCTATTTCAATCTATCTCTTTATAGAAATATTATAAATTCATTTATGATGGTTTTATGTCAATAAAATTGTGTAAAATTAAATTCAATTGTGTATGATCAAATTGTATATGATTAGGGCGAAATATTGTGTAATTAATAATAATGTAAACAATTATTCGTAAATTTCTAATGAATACGTCTCAAGTTTTTTCTTAATTTCTGTTTATTTAGCTAACTAATTATTTATAGTTTTAGTGATTTAAGTGATCACTGTTTTTGTTGTTATTTAATATCATTTATTTTTCTATAGAATCTCTATCATTCTTTACGATTTTACAAGTGCACTAAAAGTAACATTTAAAAAGAAAATTGTAATTTGTATGACGCTATTTGACACCATTTAATACAAACAAGGGTTTCATTTTACAAAAATAGAGAAACAGATTCAGTCGAAATAAGCATGCAAATGGACACATTAATCTTTTTTTAATGTAACGTTAACCATTCTATATTTAAAAGCACACATTTATTTTCTTCAAATTCAAAACGCGTAAAATTTCTGAACACCCATTTTTCATCATTATGAACAGCTATAAATAACAGTTATAACTAAAGCACCAAATAATGCCACGGTAATAAATGTATTGTCACACCATTTTCCAGGTAACGAAAAATTAAACAGCACTAATTTTATATTACTAATCAATTCATAATTAGAGATTTGGAAGAATTCGAATGTGATGTATTTTTGTGGAATTAAAGAGTTTAAAAATTTGAAAATTTACAAGTTCAATAATTTGTAAATTTGTAAAAAATTAAAAATTCGAAATTTTAATAATTACGGAATATAGACATTTGGGAATTTGCAAATTTGTGAATTTAAAAATATGGAAATTAGAAAGTTTGAAGTTAAAATATGTTGCAATGTTAAAGATTGAATGTTGAAAATCTGAAAATTTGCAAATTAAGTATTTAAATATTTGAGTTTTTGATAATGAGAAACGTATAAACGCTTAGAAATTTGGAAAATTGAGAATTTAAAAATTTTTTAAAATTTAAGAATTTGGAAATTGGGAAATTTCGGAAATCTAGAATTTCAAAATTTTAAAGGTTAAGTATTTGAAAATTTGCGAATTTAAGAATTTATGTATTTAGATTTCTGAAAATTTATGAATCTATACTTACATTATCCCCTTCAATTATTCTACAAAGTAATAAATTAACTAGAATCAAAACACCTAGTAAAGTTAAAATCTAATACAAAAATTTGCTTACCTCATATAAAATAATTCTTGTTATTTATTTCAAGTATACCAATTATGTTTAACCCAATATGTGTTATTTTATGACTAACACGTTAATCAAAGAAAAATAATAAAGAAAATAAAATTACTTGAATTCTTTTCAACTTACCTCGGAATCTCGACGGTGGTCCGATTCTGAAAATGTACGAGACACCAGATAAGTTCGATTAATCGTTTTCTATCGCGGCCAATCGATGCTATCGGAACGAAATTCCACCGAACCCGACGAAAGTATAATTCTTCTCTTATCGGAACGATTAGGAGCCTCGATCGGAGAATCACCTTCATTGAATCCATTAAATCGACGTAATTAGTCGAAGTCGATTAAAAACCGAGCCATCGTGTGTTACCGGGCACTTCCCTTCCATCCGTTAATATCAAAAGAAAATTTGATATATGAACGAGGAAATATATTGTTCAATAATAGACTGCATTTCCGCTCAATTAACGATTATTCCAGCTCAACAGTACATTTAATGCAATATATCAAATGTATAGTAGACACTGATAATTAGCTTGACTGAGCAAATCTTTATCGTACATGAATACATGAACAAATATGTGATCAAAAGAAATAAATTATTAAAATATTTGTAAAATATACAAAATGACGATTTACGGTTATCTACATAAAATACTAAAGTTACTAAAATGTAGTAGTAATGTAAATAAATAAAACATAACAAATACGGAGAAACGGACAAAGAATCTATTTTTCATTTAACGTATCGTTATAGTAGGCGTTGGTGATGTAATACAAAGCGGTATAATTTATAGGAAAAGTAACACGTTGGAATTTGAATAGCTACTAACGCGTGGTAATATAGCGCATGACAATATAACGCGGGGCAATATAACGCATTGAAAATTAAACGCGTTAGAAATTGAATGCGTGGCTGTTTAATGTGAAGCGATCTAACACGTGGCAATATAGTGCGTAACGATATAGCGCGTGGCAATATAATGTAAGGCAATATAACGCTTTGGAAATTGAATTCCTTAGAGATTGAATGTGTAGTTATTTAATGTGAAGTGATCTAATGCGTGGCAATATAGCGCGTGGCGATATAACGCGAGGCGATATAACACGAGGCAATATAACGCTTTGGAAATTAAATTCTGTTGATCTGCTGTATGGTAATATATTGTATGAAAATTTATAACGTCGGTAATGTAATGCATTCAAATTCTAAAGCGTAGTGATCAGTCGCGTTCGAAATTCTCCGCGTGGCACTCTAACACGTGGCAATGTAACACATATTAATGTAATGCATAGAAATTTAATTTTTTAAAGACCCAACGCATTGAAAATTTAACAAATTAAAATTTTGCCATGATGATTTAACAACGATCAATCTAACCCGTTGGTGACGTAATACCTGTCAATTTAAGGGGGGCAATACCTTTAGATAGATGAAAATAAGCTGATATTTGTGAATTTTTTTTTTATAGGACACGTTTGTTTTGCATTTTCGAAATTTCAGGTATAATTTATTATAACTATTGCCCATTACAGAATATTTTCTGTTTTGCAAAATATTTAAAAATGGTGGAATTATGACAGTCCTTTCTGGAAGTGTTTTGGCGCGTCTCGTGAATCGGCGTGGGTTCTAGCTTTAGATATATTGGTCTGAAGCAAGTTTGCAGACAATGTTTCGAAAACTAACATTTACAGTTAGTAGATGAACCTCAGAAATGTGCAAAATATGTAAAATTGAAGAAATGGCACGCTTTTAAAGAAAAACTTTGATTTAATTGCAAATTTTTGCAATATTTTGCAATAAAAAAGGACTTTAATGTTCAATTTATTTCATATATTTAGGTTCATATGTTAGATAGTATTGTCATGGATAAGTGCAAAAAATTTGAGCGCGATTGATAAACTAGTTTTTGAGTTATCAGCCACGCCAATTTTAAGAACGTAGCTTTGAGAAAAACGCGTTTAAAGTTTCAGTCCTCCGCACTGAACGCGTGAATACTCACGGCGCTAATCGGCCATAACTTCAAAAGGGCTTCGTATTTCACTTTAAAATTTCAAGACAATATTTTTAAGACGTTACACTAACACTTTATAGAAAAAAAAACATTTGTAATTTTTTAAGATTCTAAAGGTATTGCCCCCCTTAACGAAAGACTATGCTACACATGTATACATATAGAGGGTGGCTCACCACATTTTGCCATCCAGATTTGCATCATTATTATTACTCATAGCAAACAATGTTTCAGATGAATTTGAATGGTTTTGAGGACATAAGAGGAAAAGGACATAAGAAGGTTATTAATATTTTTTTAAATGGGATCATATATTTTTTATTGCATCAGCTGATACTCCTTCATATTCTTTACAAAAAAGTATTAATCTATTTATGTGAAAAAATCATTAGTTTAGGAGATATTTTAATTCTAACTTGTTAGGAAATCGTGACTTTCTGGTCAATATTATGAA